TTTAACAGCGTGTTCCATCAGCATGATGCTTGGGAGTGTAGGCAGGTCCAGCGTGCAGGCAGGTGTTTGTTAGTGTGACGTGATTCATCTTGTTTGGGCATCATTCCCTCTTTTCCACCATTCATTCTTGTCTCCCTGCTCTCTGTGCCCCCTGCAATGCTGGTGATGAACTCTCTTGTCCAGGAATCTGATCTCTGTCCTGTTCCTTTTCTAGGATAATGTGGCATATTTCTGTTACCCCTTCACTTTGGAGATGTTTTTCACCCAAGGAGACGATTTGGAAGGTATGTTTCCTTCTTGCTCTGAAATGTGAAACTCTGAGATCTTTTGATTGCAGTGTAGGCAACAGGCTGTCTGGCTGCAGTTTGGCCCCTCACCAAGATGAAAGGACAGGTTTAAGGTCAGCAAATGTTCACCTGACACCACACAACCTCTCCACACAGGCGCTGCCCAGCAGTGCATTAGCATTTGTATGGATTCGTTGCTGTTGCCCTGCTTCCAGAGTGTAGTCAGCTTTATCCAGTTGCAAAACTGCTTGGATCTTAGCTTGTCTGTCTCAAAATGCCAGGCACGCTGGCCTGTGTTGCCATGCCTGGCCTTCTGCGTAGAGCCCTGGGACTCCACAGCAGAAGGAACAGGCAGCTTTGTTGTACATAACCAAAACTCTGTACTGAGTGTTAACGTTTGTAGACATGCTCAGTGACCTGTGTAGGCTTTGTATAGTTTATGTCACTTTGAAACTTCCAGCTCTATTTTAAGCTGGGCTTCTCTGCTGCTGATTCGTGCTGCTTCACTGCACTACTGCTGCTTCCTCACCAGCACCATTGCTCTTTGGATTGCAGTTGCTGGGGACAGCTTTGCAGCATGCCTTGCCACTTGAATCCAATGTACGCACTGGATTTCAGTATTCAACCAACACTAATGAATTTTCAGCCTAGAATAAACACAATGAGTTTGTTTCACCATGGAAAAAAGAAATGCTCCAAGACCTGTAGGAGAATCCAAGTTAATAATCCCCCAATAATGGTGGGAAAGGTCAGAGATAAAAATGTCCCCCTCTTTGGCATCAGATCATTCACAAAAGATTGTCTTGTCTTCTCAAAGATCATTGAGGAACTGGTTTGGACTTGCTCTCAAAACAAAGAATTTTCCTGTTTTTAGCATCTTATCAGTAATTTTCATCCTCAAATCTGAGGGTCCAGCATTTGCAAGGGAAAATAATCACCCATACATCTAGATTAGTCATTGTAGACGAAATACAGAAAAGACTTCCTACTGGTGGAGTTGGGCATTTGGCATTTTTTCTCCTCTGTGACAGTCTCCCTCACAAAACTGTGATCTGCTCCCTTCCTTGCAGATAGTCTCCCTCAGTGGCCTGTTCTCTACTTTGAGGTCCTGTCCCTGGATTTCTGGCAGAGGTACCGTGTTGAAGGATATGGTTCTTTGGTGCTGCCAGCATCTCCAGGTAAAACATACTTGGGGCATTATGTTAATTGTCTGGGAAAATGAGTTGAGTGGTTCTCCTGGGAATGGGTTCAGCTGGTCCTGGGGAGGCTTTGCCTACTGAAGGGGATACTTAGCTCTCTGTGGGGCAGCAAAGAAGGATTGGGTGCATCCTGTACCATTCTGCCTTGTTGCTGAGACGCATCATGTGTTGCTGTCCTTGCTTCTTCAGCAATTCCGTCACAAAACCTTGTGTGATGAAGCTCTGGGGTGATGCTGCATATCCATATTTACAGTAGCAGTAGTCCTCTCTGTCCCACATGGAATCTGAGGGTCACAACTATTCTGACACCCACGTGTAGATAGGAGATGCTCCTTATGGGCAGGGGGTAATTTCAACATTATAGAGGTACTGGGCAGTGTTTCCATTTCCAGCCCACTCTGGTTTGGGTCAGCAGGCATCCATCTTCTGTGCTGTCCTCTGTGACTCTGAGCAGATTGTTGGTCATGGCTGCTAAGCTGTCCTGTTGTCCTGGGTCAGGTCTCCACATGCTCACCATCCCTACCTGGCGCCCTGTGGAGCTGGGGACAGTCGCCGAGCTGAGGAGGTTTTTCATTGGTGGATCTCCTGAGCTAGAGGACATAACCTACGTCAGGACACCATCAACCTTCAAGGTAGGCTTAGCTGCAGGGCATCGCTCTTGCTGGGAGATGGCAGACTGTGCTCTTGGGTTCAGATGTCTGTGGACAGCCTGGACCAGATTTGAACAAGGATGACCAAAGAAATGTCTCCTCTGTGAGAGTTGTGATCAGGAACAGAGGAACAGGCAAACACTGAGGCAGAGCTCTCTGCCTTCTGAGGTGTGTACAGCTTAGAGAGGTGGGTGAACGTGGACCAAAGCCTTGACTTACCCCTGCCTGTGCTGGCCCTGTCTGGAAAGCGTTTGTCAGGTCAGCATTTGTTAGACTTCTTCCTGTGTTTTTGTAAGGGATCTGGGCTGTACTGTGCCTGGAATCAAGAGGCTGATGGGCGTGAGGCAGGCAGAAATTTCATCTTCTTAAGAAAGCTGCAGAGGTGCTTGCTGTGTAAGGAGTAAGTTGATCTTAGTAGCAGCTTTGTGTGGGAATGAGCCCTGATGCAGTTATTGAAACCTTCCTCCAGTGCTGTACTGTCTGTTTGCTGATGTTCAGGTCCTGCCCTCAGCACAGCCTGGAACCGCCTGCCCTTTCTGACCTTGCTTTCTGTGTGCAGCAGGGAAGGGAGAGACTGTGCCCACAGGAGTGTGTGCTCCTGGTGGGGTGCCCCTGTTTTCACTAGGGTCAGCCTGCTGCCGCCACAGGCTGTGGGCTGTGCTTACACCTAACTTGTCCTGTCTTTGCAGGGGGAGCGTCTGAGCCGCTTTGGTTTTCGCACAGAGACAACAGGGAGCGTCACGTTCCGGCTTTACTGCCTGCAGCAGTCTAAGTAAGCACAGCAAAGTGAGTACGAGCTCCATCTTGCATGCTGTGTTTTGACAGCCCTGACCTCCTACTGTACTTCTGTGCAGAGCCTTTCTGGAAACCAGTGCCCTGAGGCAGCGCATGCAGAGTGTACTGGACCGTCTCGGAGGCTTCAGCCAGCAGAACTCTGTCTACAATGTTTTGGGTAGGGCTTCAGTGTCATTCTCCCTGGCGAGCCTTTGGCTTACTTTTGCCCCATCTTTACAGAGTGGGCAGGATATTTCAGGAGAATCCATTACTGGGATAGTTCCCCCCCATGAGCTCCCTGGGTCCATAGCAGAGGTTAAATGTTCTGATCTGAGCTGTAAACTTCAGGAGGCGTCAGCTCTCGGCAGGCAGGGGGGATAACCGCGCTGCGAGGGCAGAGCCTAGGCTGGGCTGCCCAGTCTGGCCTGGCACTGAGCATGGCTTGGCACTGATGCACAGGCTCTCTCTGATTCCATGGAGCAAAGACAGTGCTGGAAATAAGTGAAGAAAGCAGCAAGGAATGGGTGCTTTGTTGATGGAACTTAGCAATGGGAAGTGAGATGCCTGCTCGAGGAGACCTGATGTTCACTGGGCAGACTCGTCCCCCCCTTCCCTGGGGCTGTCTGATGCATTCTTGCTTGCTGTCACCTGCTGTCTTGTAGAGGCTTTCCAGAGGGCACGGCGCCGGATGCAGGAAGCACGTGAGAGCCTTCCTCAAGACCTCATCAGCACCTCTGCCTCCGCTGTGCACCAGTCGCAGGAGCCGTGATCAACCTCCTCCACTGCTGGGGAGCACTCAGTGTCCTCTCTCCAACATAAGCTCCTGTGTCGTTTTCCCGGGATGGGGGAAGGAGTCTGTAACACGTCCAGACCTAGAACCTTTGCATTTCTGCAGGTACCTGTGGAAGGAGCCTCATTTTTTCAAGGCACTTTGTTACCAGGCCCTAACAATACAGCCAACTGTTCGCATTTCTGTTGAGCAGACTAAAACACTGACAAGGGACCTGTGAAGCCTTTAACACCTTTTCAGAAACTGAACATTAAACGATTAGAAACATTTCAAGTCTACATGACTCAGTAAATTTAGTTTTCTTCTTAAAGAAGAGGCTGATGTTGAAGGTTAAGGCATGAAGGCTGTTTGAGATTTAATGAAATGAGTAGATAACTTCTTGAGAAATGCTGACAATCATTACCAGCATTTGTAGCTATAGGCCGGTCACTAGTAAAATGAATCTGTCCACGTGTGCCTTGTGTTCAGTGTTGGGCCCCTCACTACGAGAAAGACGTTGTGTTGCTGGAGCATGTCCAGAGGAGAGCAACAAAGCTGGGGAGGGGTCTGGAGCCCAAGGCTGATGGGGAGCGGCTGGGGGAGCTGGGGGTGTTCAGCCTGGAGAAGAGGAGGCTGAGGGGAGCCCTTATCGCTCCCTACAACTGCCTGAGAGGAGCGGGGAGCCGGGGGGGTCAGGCTCTGCTCCCAGGGAACGAGCAATGGGACGAGGGGAAACGGCCTCAAGTTGTGCCAGGGCAGGTTTAGGTTGGGCATTGGGAAAAATTCCTTCCCTGCAAGGGCTGTCAGGCACTGGAAGGGGCTGCCCAGGGAAGGGATCGAGTCCCCATCCCTGGGAGTATTTAAAAGCTGGGCAGATGTGGTGTTTAGGGCCAGGGTTTAGTGGTGGGATGGCAGGGTTAGGGGAATGGTTGGGCTTGGTGATCTTAAAGGTCTTTTCCAACCCAAACGATTCTGTGATTCTATGATTAGGGTTGATTAATTCCTGCCACCTGTAAAACATGAAATCAGAGCAAGGGAATGACGTGTGACAGATCAAGAACTGGAGTAAAGGGTTCATTCTGTATTTCCTTGTACATCCCGTAACGTTTCTGGCTCTGCAGTGATGAGCAGGAGGATTCTGTGTTGAAGAATACAACTGAAAACACACGGTCCCCTGAGTTCATAGCAGAGCTTTGGCTGGGGCTGGACGGTTTGCAGACGACAAGAGTAGATCATAACGTTTCCACAGCAGCTGAACTTTGAACTGTTCGAGCTGTTCATTTGAGCTCTGGTTCATTGTTCCATCCCTGACTGCAGCGCACTGTGCTGCTTCCTGCAGAACCATGTGGGTCCCCAGTTTTTACCCAGTTTCTTATGTTCTTTTCTCAGATTTTTTTTGTCCTGGTTTTGTTCCCATCCCAAGTTCACAGGCGCGAGGCTTCCTGCAGACTGGCAGTGCTGTGCCGATTTGCACGAGTCGCTTTTCCAGGTGTTGTCTACCTCTGCTCCCAACACAAGGGGTAGGAAGAAAAATTTGAGGCTGAGCTCATGCAGGTCTGCACGCATCTGTAAAGTTAGAATTGACGGGCAGAATATGAAATAGGAGCTGGCCTTCCTCCCCTTGCCCTGCACATTCCTCCTTCACGGGGAACATGAGACTCATGGTTGCAGCCATATGTGAGTGTTAGAACATCCCCCTCTTCCCTGGTGCTCCATTGTCTTCCTCGCTCCCTTCTTGCCATTTTGGTGTTGTCCCAGCCTTCAGTGGGATAACCAAAATCCTGAGTTTTTTCCTCCTTGACTTTTGTTGTAATTCCTTGACCTGTCTGGCAGCTTGGATATGGCTGGCAGTTTCAATTATAGAAGAGGATTTTTGCTCACTTTCCTCAGCCGCTACCCCTCCTTTTTGGTGGAAGAGGCTGCCAGCATGTATTAGCACGGCCCGTGAAGCAGAGCCTGCAGCTGGATGATGTGTCTTGTGCACGAGTCAGGTCTCCACTTAGCTTTCGATGTGATGTCTGTGAAGGTGAACACCCACTTCTGGAGTAGCAGAATCACAGAATCACAAAATTGTTTGGGTTGGAAAAACCCTTTAAGGTCATCAAGCCCAACCGTTCCCCTAACCCTGCCATCCCACCACTAAACCCTGGCCCTAAGCACCGTGTCTGCCTGGCTTTTAAATACCCCCAGGGATGGGGACTCGACCCCTTCCCCGGGCAGCTCCTTCCAGTGCCTGACAATGGAGGTGTGTGCGCTATCGTGGTCTTCAATGAAACAGTCATGTTTCGCAGGGGTTGACCCGCTCAGCGCCCAGGATGAGGAGTGTTCCGTGAATGTGTAGCTCTCGCTCTCTCTTCCTTTTCTCTCATCGCTCATGTCATGGCTCTGTACGGTCACCGCATGCTATCGAAGCAATGTTTAATTTCCTTCTGGGTGTTTCTGTTGCGCTTACCGCTAACAGCTGAACTGCATGTCTGAAGCCCTTTCCAGGATTGAATCACAAGGTTAAGAGAATATTCTTCTTATCAATAAAGTATCGAAACACCTTTCTGACTGAGGTGATGCCCAAGGCAGACTCTGTTAGGGAGCGGACTCCTCAATTAGAAGACCCAGTTCCTGCCTCGTGCTTGTAGCTCAGCCCATTTGGATGGCAGGAGTTGGTTGTTGAGCACTCAGGTTACACAGAGGTGCACTAAGGTTTGCATAACGATGCTGGTTTTGTTAGTTAAAACTCTGAAGAGCATAAAATCTTACAGAAACTTGAGAGAGCATAATTTAAAAATAAAAAATGTTTATAGCTAAGGAAGCGGTTCTTCCAAAATAAGACATTAGCAGTTTTTCACCTTCATGCTTGCCGCCTCCTTGGCCTGACAGAACAAAATGGTGCTTGTGAAAGATGTTTTGGAGAAAGCCTTCAGCAAATGTTCTTTGACTCTGCCCTTTTATAAATTAAACTGGCAAGTTTCCATATACATGTACATGTATGAAAATGTCACTGATCTTTGAGGCAAAAGTGGCATTTGGTGCAGGGCTTGTGCTCCAAGCTTGCCAAGGGGCCCGGGCAGCTGGAATGGGGGTCGTGCACAGGTGAAATGGGAGGTGGCCCATGGGGACAGGCAGAAGGGGAGGCCAGGGATCCCCCAGAGCCCTGAGGATTTCCCCAGTACAGAGGTGTCCCTACAGTTGGCACCGGAGCGTGCCTTTGTGGTGAAACTCAGCAGGACAAGGGAGAGGAAGGGGCCGCTGTGGGTGCAGGAGAGCTTCGGACGGGAGGGCACCAGTTCATGGGGCGGGAGCCTGGCATGCTGGGGGTGCCTTGAACTGGAGGTGCAAGCCAGGCAGTACTGCAGACTCGGAGGGGATGAGAGCGGGTCTAGCAGTGAGCCCAGGAGGCCTGTGCTGTCCCTGGAGCACGGCCAGCAGCCCCCAGCTCTGCCCATATCTGCTTGCAGCAACGTTGCTGCTTTCTCTTCAGCTTTGCCTGCTGCTTCCTTTGGGCAGGCTGGAGCTGTGATGGTGTCTGAGTGCCAGCTGAAGCCCCAGCTGAACAGGCATCCGAGGCTGAATGCTGCAACCTGACCAATGAAGTGGTCTGGATGGGGGCAGGAGCCAGCAGAAAGTCCCTGGGGGCCTCCAGGCGTCTCACTAAATAAACCATGCAAACAAAGGGTAATTGCAGGAGTGCTGGCTTGGTGGAAGCAAAGGCCCTGAGTAGCTGGCAGGGCTTGCATGATGCAAATCAGCAGCCATTAGAAATTCCAGTGTAAATGGAACAGAAAAAGAAAGCCTAGAAATGAGTCATTCACACAACCGGGGGAGCAGCTTCCCACCAAAGAAGTCAGATCCTGGGAGTGGGTTCTGCTCCCAACCGAGGAGGATTTGGGCCATGATAGCTTCAAACCGGAGCCTTGCCAGCAAACCTCAAACACCCCTTTGGTTGGGTCCCATCCCGGTGCCTGTGATGGAGCAGGGGCACAGCGCTGTGCCCTGTGCCGGCCATCCTGGCCTGGGAGGGTGGCCCTGCTGCCCCTCCAGCAGTGGGGGATGTGTTTGGGAAGGGCGCTGGGCTGCGGGTGATGCCGAGCTGCAGCAGGCATGTGCCCTACAGAGATTTGCCTTGGTGCTGCCTGGTGCGTGGGGAGGGAGAGGCATGTTGTATCTGCACCATGGGGTTTCGGTGGTCGTTATTAAACAGCGACTGGAGGCTGCTTGTTGGCTCAATATATTTTAATTTTAGCCACCAGGCTGGAGTTTGGGAGGGAAGCTCCCTGCAGGCCCTCCCTCTCCTGGCAGCGAAGCGAAGGAGGGGACTGCTTTGCCTTTCACCCCCAGCTGCCTTTTTGTTACGCGTATTGTCTTGCCAGGGTGCAGTCTGCACTCTCTGAAGCTCATGTCAATAGTTGAGGGCAAGGCAGGGTGCAGCTGACCCGAGCAAAATCACAGTTCCTTGAATCAGTGAAAAAATAGGTGTGTGGGGCCGTGCAGACCCAAGGTACGGCCCTGTCTCATCTGTCAAGACCCTTTTCTAGGGTAACACACTGAATCAGAAAAGGACTGATGGGATCAGACTTCTCTATCATTTATTCACAAGTTCTTACACTTAAAAAAAAATAAATCTGAGTTTCAGAACAGTTGGGAGAATTTTTCCAATGTGTGAAAGAGGAAACTGTCCCGGAGGTGCGTGATTCTGAGCTGTTTCAGGCTTTCCAGAGCTGAGAACGAGAGGATCGGGCCCTTGGGCAGGTGGGAAGGGCAGATTTTCTGTGACTTTACCCCACTGTGGGAAGCCAGAAAGGCCAAGCTGGATATCAAGATCCAGTCTTGATCCACCGCTTTCCTTTGGGCGACATCGCCTTGACCTGACCACAGCCCGGGAGGTGTTTGTTCAGCTGGTCCTTCACGTGAAGATGGGGGCTGCAGATCATCCCTGCCAGATGTTGACAGGTTTTTTTGCTGTAGCAAATTTTCTTGTACAGAGCAATTGACAGTGGCAGCTTATGCCTGAGCTGAGCAGCACCGGTTGTCAGGCGGCTGACGGAGGCGTGAGGGGGA